GCAGAGGAACAACATTCCACTTTAATTTGGAATACAGCCTGGTTACATTTTCTCATCCTTTCTCCAAATGCAATTTATTGATGTTTGTATTCACTTCTTAGGTGCTGTTATCCTCTATTGATTATGTGCTGTGTCTTGTTGTTGTTGTTTATTTTTTCCTACAAGATGCCATATAAATAAGATTGGATTGCATTTGCTCCCCCGAAGGATGGGAGTAAAAACTGTGATGGATGCTTTGACCATCTGAAGTAGTTTGAGATTTTTTTGAACAGTAGTACAGTCTTGAGTCATTCTCTCTTTGGAAAGTAAAAAAATATAATTCCACTGGGAAATGTTGATATACCCCAGTACCTATTTCTTCAGCAAAACGTAGGATAGAATATGAATATTTTTTCTTCAGCTTTTAGTTCATGCTGTTGTTTAGAGGAGCAGCAGCATTTCCAGCATTAACCCTGTATTTCAAACCCAGTAGCTTTTGTTTTCAAAGTCACCGCACCATAGGTCCACTTTGAATTTTATTACATCAATCTTAATTATAGAGAGAGTGTTTTGGAGGTTTTTGCTTTTAATTAAGGATTTCAAGTGAGATAGGACGAGCAACGATACTCAGAGGCAGGATGTTCTGTGATCCATCTTGAATCTCAGTGTTCTTGCCTATGGGAACTGGAGCGAAGTTCAGTTCTTTATAGCTCTATAGCTGCTGCTTGGCTGACACCTGTAGGTTTTAGTCCCTATCCTTGTGAGGAGATGCTCTGAATGTCCGTTATCCTCGATCCATTTATTTTCTACTTTGTTCTTGGGTTCTCTCTCGCCATTTTCCCCTCTGTCTATTCACAAAACTCACATCTGTCTCCACTCGTGGATCTTGGCTCATATCAGTTCCAAAGAATTAAGGCTTATTTCTGCATAAATGCTCCAATTCTCCTTTTTTTTTTTTTTTTTTTTTTTTCTTCTAAAACTTCTACACTGAAAGACTGGCACAGGCTGCCCAGGGAAGTGTTTGAATCGCTGTCCTTGGATGTATTTAAAAGCCGTCTAGATATGGTGCTCAGGGAAATGGTTTAGAAGTGGGCCTGATAGAGTTAGATAGTAGCTGGACTTGATGATCTTAAAGGTCTTTTCCAGCCATAATGATTTTATGGTTCTACATTCTGCGCAGTCGTTCTGCACGTTCGCCCCCCTGCTGAGGCCCTTCCGTGGCTCTCGCTTCATTTCAGCAGTGCTCTGTGTGAGCTCCTGGCTCCGGCCTTTCTGGAAAATGCAGAAAAGAAACTAAAAATCAAACCTACGCTGTAAGCTTCATGGAGAACGTGGATTTGCCATTGCATGTGTTTTGTTTGTTTGCTCTTTCAGGTAATCTTTCAGATTCTAAAGACTCACCCCACAAAGAAGCAACTAAACCTCAGCCTGGATCTCCCGAAGCAGCAGCAACCTCCCCTGCCTCAGCCACCTTCGGAAAGGCTGTTCAGACGCAGCAGCCGTGCTCTGTCAAAGCCTCTTTGTCTTCTGACATCTGCTCCGGCTTAGGCCCTGAAGGAGGAGATGCGAACGCAAGCTCTGGCCAAGGTGATTTTTTTCCTACTGGCTGTTGGGCATGTCTTCCAGCACATGCTAAAATTAGTTCCCTTCCCTTATGCATGAACCTTTTAGGAGTGGATTTCCTTTCTAGTCATATAGAAACAGGAACCTTTGGCAATCCAAATTACTGACTTACCTTTAAAAAGATCGTTACGGTATTGTCAGAAGAGCAAAAGTAAAGTATCTCGCCAAGTGTTGAGAGTAAACACTCAAGAAGACGTGCTAATTTTTAGGAAGGAAGTACCTTTTCTTTCTGCCAGCAGTGGTTTTATACTGACACCTTTTCTGGAGTCTGCCTTACAGATTTGAGTAAAAAGAAAGGCAAACAAAAAAGATACAGAAGGATGGAAGATTGTTTCCTTTGGTTCATTTGGGGCTGTTTTTTAGCCCCTCGATACTGGTAGACCCAAAGTTTCTCACTTTAAACTACTAAACCATCTTAAGTGTGAGGGTGGGGGGGGGGGGGGGGAAGAAAAGGAAAAAGAAAAGAAAAGAAAAACCAAACCCAGAGAACCAAGTTATGTTTCCTTTACCTAAGGGGTTAACTTTGTGCATGATTTTTGGAGTCCCAGCTAAATGACTGTCGATTGGCTGTGTTCCCCCGTCCCGACCTCTGATACTTCTGTGTATTGCACACCTCCGTAGGCTTTGACTGATCTTGTTGCCATGCATATTGGAAGTTATAATGATGATTAAAATACCTTCCTCTCATTGCACATCCTGCCAAACTAATCTACAAAATATCTATCTGTTCTCTTCTGCTGTTATTGCATCCTTTGTGTATGGTCAATTAACTTACTCCTCTTTGGCAAAGTTAAAATGGAGATGTGGATGTTTAACTAACAAAGCTGATTTGACTGATGGTATAGGACATCTGATCACAGCTACTTGTACTTTATAAGTGTCTTTGTTTTCTTCCCTTTATATTCATTTGCAGGCTGGACGGTTTTCCACCAAACGTCTGAGAGAGTGACCTATAAATCTAGTAGCAAACCTCGTACCAGATTCCTCAGTGGACCTGTGTCTTTGTCCATCTGTTTGTATTTGTTCTTTTGTATTTTATCACAGTCCATCTTTCTTTTACCCCCTTTTTCCAATTCCATATTTTATATCTCTAATATGTTTGGCAGGATGCCCCTTTTTCTGAACCATCTTTTCTTTTCTTTTTATCTTTCTTTTAAGTAATCATCATGAACACACCTTATTTATATTAATTTTTCATATGAAAGCTTTTTTTGCACTGCTTTTGGCTCGTGCCTGGGCACCAAAAGCATGTGTGGAAGATCTCATCATTTATTATAGAGCCTTATGGTAAATTTTATCCTGGACTTATCAAAGCTTTTGTACTTTATGTGATTTATGTTGAAGTAATTTTATTTGCAATGTGGCAAATATACATGTCTGCTGTCCCGGTTCCAGCGACAACAAAAAGAAATCCATCCTTCTGTAGACGAATGGTCTCTTTCACACATGTTTGGACTATGAAGACATGCATGTAGCAAGCTGATACAATACTAGAAGGTCACTGAAGGGTATAACTTCCATACAAGGGCTGTATTAACACGATATACAGTACTGTTTATATCCACTCTGTTTTCTTTAATTTTTTTTCCCCGCTCTTTGCATGTGGAAATGCTGAGACAATAGTGCTCCAGCTAGTTCTTTCAAAATCTGTTTTCTCGGTGGGCTTTTCCCCATGCATTCCCTTTAATTACTTTAAGTGAGCGATTTTTTATATACTCGTAAGCAGCAGGAAGATCTGGTTACTCTGAGGGGGAGTACCATCAACTTTTTTTGCGTAAGCTGATCTGGCTGAAGCACTTTACTCAGTTTATTTTCTTATGACCTTATGTGACCTCAGAGATGAAGTCAATTAGCAGTTCATCAAAGCATAAATAAGTAAAAAGCAATATCAGATTTTCAGATGATACTATGAAATGGATTGCTAGGATCCAGTATTTTTTGCTTCGAATAATTGTGCACCTGCGATTTGTACCCCATTTGTATGACTTCTAAAGTAATTGGCAATTCAACCAAATGATATCAAGCTACTTAATTAAAAAATTAAGACCTTTTTACCCAATCATACATGCTGCTTTTTAGGCAAACAGATTTTGCTTGTACAATAAAGATATGTTGTGCTGAACAGGTACTATAGGCCACTTACATATAACGTTAGAAAGGCTAATGATGTTCTTGAGAAAATGTTTGGTTAACGAACTGTTCATTTGCATTAATATCAGATCTCCCATTGGAGTTCTACATTGCTGATCATTATCCAAGTGGTACAGATCAAAGGCACAAGACCACTCAAATACACTCCTCCTGATTTTATGAATAAACAATATTTTTTAAAAATAGTCTTTTTTTAATTTTTGTTGTTGTTGTTGTTGTTTGAGGTCCCTAAAAGTCCAAGCAGTCAGGTTCTTGAAAAACTGGTGTTTACTGCTTGGCAAACTGAATTTATTATCATGCAAGTTTTTAACGAGTATTGAAGTTACAAGGCAATTTTGCATTCGGAGGTATTTTTTCTGAGAACCTGAGGGGAAATCTCAGTTCACAAATTTTCCCATTCGGTATTGTAACAGACATAGTAGTTTCTTCCTCTGCACATGTAATTCCCAGAAGTCATTTCATTAATCTTTCACAGAATTACTATTCAGTAGGACGCAAAAAAGACTGGGAGATGGCAATTAAAAACCAGCATCTTAAAAATGTTTGGGTGCGTGGATATTGTGAATGAAACCAAGGAAAATATGTAAATCCTTCAAATCGTGAAGTTTCCCGGTGCTTAAATAACTCGGCATGATTAATTGCTTTCTGTTCTCAGCCCATATGCTCTCTTCTCGGGTTCTTCTGGGCGCAGCGTTCAGGGAGGAGGTTTGCACTCCCCCATTTCTGAGTCATACAAGGAGATGGACTGTGTTTCGGGCACTTAACCCTGACACATCCATCCAAAATCACCGCTGCTTAGAGGGCACAGCTTGACTCTGTCACTTGAGTTACTGGGCAGTTTTCCACAGCTGAAATACCGGCAGGTTTTGCTGGGATTCGAGCTTATTTTAGCTTATTTCCCCAGTGATTCTGACAGGTTGGTAGTGTGTGTGCGAAGGGGTGAAGATGGGGCTGCATGCGGCCCCATCACATCATTCCGCAGCTGCCGCTGGGACTGCTGCTGGAAGGACATACGGACGGTGGCTCCATCAAGCCAGTATCCAGAGCAGCCGTGACCACGGGCCTTGGGAAAAATAGTGCTAGATGATGATGGGAATGCCAGCTGGTTCATGCTCCTTCCCCTCTGGAAGGGACATCGGTTGACCCAGCATGGAGGCAGAGCCAAGTGTTTGGACTTTGGTGCTGAACATGTTGGCATCTTTGCTCCATGCTTGAGCAAGAGGAGCGAGTGCCAGGGCTGGGATGGAGGTGTCCAGCGCAGGCAGCTTGGCGGCATGGCCAGGCAGGTCGGGGTCCTGGGGCTGTTCCCCAAGTCAAGGTGTCCCAGGGATTTTTTGTTTGTTTGAGAGCTGTTGGGAAAAGTTGTGCTGGATCTGCAGGGATTTACCTTCAGAGGGCTGAGAGCACCTCTCCTATGAGGACAGCCTGGGAGAGTTGGGGGTGTTCAGCCTGGAGAAGAGGAGGCTCCAGGGAGACCTTAGAGCCCCTTCCAGTGCCTAAAGGGGCTCCAGGAGAGCTGGGGAGGGACTATGGATCAGGGAGGGGAGCCACAGGATGAGGGGGAATGGTTTTAAACTGGAAGAGGGGAGATTTAGATAAGGAAGAAATTCTTGGCTGTGAGGGTGGGGATCCCCTGGGGCAGGTTGCCCCGAGAAGCTGTGGCTGCCCCATCCCTGGAGGTGTTCAAGGCCAGGTTGGACGGGGCTTGGAGCACCCTGGGCTGGTGGGAGGTGTCCCTGCCCAGGGCAGGGGGGTGGAACTGGATGATCTTTAAGGTCCCTTCCAACCCAAACCGTTCTGTGATCCTATGATTTTCAGAAATGCCCTGAATCTACACATTTGATTAAGGAAAAACAGCCCTTTGGGGAGCTCAGATACTCCAGTGTGATGCCTGGGCTGTATTATCAGAAAAATTGGCAGCACGCTTTTAAAAAGAAATATTCAGATGCATTAAAGATAGTTTTTACCAAATATCTTGCCTGGTTACAAGATCCACCAAACTTGAACACTTTCACAGTGTTCTTCAAGAACAGCTTTTTGATCTGTTCCCTGTGTCCAATGGTGACTTATCCTTTGCCCTTTTCATGGAATAAAATATTTTTCATGGGCTTCAGCATAATTTTAGCCTGAGCTCCTTCCCTGGATTAAATTGCCAGGGCGTCTTAGGGAAGAGTTTGTGCTGATTGCAAGTGGAGTTTTCAAAAGCTCCACTTGGTTTAGACTTGTAATCTTGTGTAAAGCATTTCCTGTCAGGTCTGTAGTAATTAATATATTGTATGTGCAGATGCGATTATGGAAATGGTCTAACAATTTATTGCCATTTCAATTTTATTTTAGCTCTCAAGCTTTTTGGCAGCTGTTAGAGTGCAAATATGGGACAGTGGTTTTTTCTGTCCTGTATGATATAATAGCTGCTTAATTTCTTAGATAAGAAATCTGGAATCAGAGGTAAAACACTCTGCTGAACTTTTGCAGGCTTAGATTAAATCTTAATTATGATTCATCTCCTTAACTTTACAGCTATTAAACACCTTGATTTTAGAAGTAATACAATTAATCTGGTGAATTAGGTTTAGCAAGTGCATTTTTTAATTGAATTTGAATTTAAAACCAATTGTAGCTGACAATCGTCAGTCCCTGCTTCAGGCGGTATCACCACTAACATTATCTAAATGTTTCTCATCTCCCAAGCAACATGCTGGAGCGATTAAGCTTGGAAGAAATAGCTTTCTTTTTGGTGGTCGACTCTCCTGTAGTATTTTCCTTAATGTTGGCTCCGCTCAGGCAGGTGTTTTGTGAATCTGTCTAGCATCACTGGTCTCTCTCGCTTCCCCCCACGTATGGGGGCCCTGGGTTTGATTTGGCACCTGAGGTGCACAGAAACTTGTGACTGGCTTTTCAGGAAGCGGAGGGGTTGGTGATTAAACTTTTTTAACATGCACTTGAGCACGTACTGTAGTCAGCTGCCTGCTTTTATTTTTTGCAGGCAGTTGCTTTTCATTTGCATACGTATTGTGCCAAATATTACCTATTGCTACATGCAGAATATGCTGCAGGGTAGTGAAGAAAATAGCATTCTAGTATCACTGCCACTGATGTTTCCGTAATGGGAGTTGCTAGCTAACTTTAAGAGATAGGCAAGGTAAGGTGTATCGGAGGGAAAAGAGAGGGGAAAAAAAATGAAAACTACAACACAGATTGAGTTGTGAATGTGACCTATATTTTGTTGTCTAGGCCTTGAGATGAGAAACTACACTCAGTCATGCTTACATAAGGCATTGCTGTAGTTGTGTCCTTCTGAATTTCCTGGAATAGAAACCTCGTTACACTATATGAAATTAAGAAAATCTTTCAAAGTGATCCTTCTGTTCCTCCTCATGCCACCCATATCAAAACACAAACATTTCTTCTCCCTCTTTTTCCTCCTTTTCTTTACTTTCTCTTCCTCAGTCTCTGACTGACATCTCTCCTTCCTCCTTTGAAGACTCATTCAGAGCCTGTGTCAGCCCGGACCGGCAATCTCTGAGTTTAAAGCTGCATTTCTGGCACAGTAACATAAAAACTCAACACCGGTTTGCTGTAGAGAAAATGCCCATCCATCCTGTATCTTGCTTTTTGCCCTGCTCTCTGATTTTGCTCATGTTTTCAAGTGCTTCTTCACAATAAACTTGCCATGCCCCATGTCAGATGTTCATCTCCTCCCATACCATGATGATATTCTTCTTACCAAAGTCCAAAATACCTTTCAGGAAATTTGGCACTCAAATAGAAACAGTGCTTATGTCTGGCAAGATCTGGATCTGACAGTCAAGTAGGGTTCTTGGTACACTTCCGGCACTCTAACTAGCCAACAGAATATGTAAAATCATGATGAAGGATGTAACAAGATGATAATGAAAAAAACCACACAGTTTGGTTAAATGAAAACTCAGCTACTCTGCTGGATTACTTTTCTGCACTTGGACAAGGCATAAGGGAAACTCATTCATGGTTACTTTCAATTGAAGTTCAGAATCTCACTTTTAGACATAAATCCTACTAATAAAGTATTTGGAAACAATTGGCCTCAGACCTGCAGAACAATGTATCTTTTTGGACTTGTAAAACAGGACTTTTCAGGTTGTTTTACAGTTTGTCTTTGCAGCCAGACTAGCTTGACTTGTTCCTGAAAGCATTTTTGGCCTCCTATCACAAACTGAATTGACATCATTTCCTGCATAAATAGAGTAGGAATCAAAACGTCCTACTAGGAAGCCAAGGCAATTTGGAGAAAAAACAAAACAAAACAAACTCAAATCAAAAAACCCAAACAAATGCATCTTTAAGTCATGAGACCTTGCTTTTGGCATGCTATTGTACTTTCCAAAGCTTCTGAATGGCTGCACATTAAGAAAGGTTTGAGCTGTCCAGTTATTTAGACTTCCTTTACTCACCTGAACTGCTGACTTTGTCTGTCCTTTCTTGCATAATAACTACTTTCTGATTGCTTAAAAGTACAGAAGCTTGTCCGTCAGATTTGTTGTGTTTAGTCTTACCTAATTCTGTATGTCTTGTATTGTTTTACCTTGTAGGGTCCACCTTGAAACGACTATGTCTAGGCAAAGATCACAGTAGTAGTAACTATCCCATTTTTGTTTCTCAGTATTTCCTTCATGGCATGGGATGTTTTTTGCTTTTTTTCTTTTAATTATTAATTTTTACTAAAAGCTAGTTGTTTAATAAATAGAGCTGATGCACTGATATGAAGTTAGACTGTATAAATTGTGGTACTTTCATAATAATGCATGTGCTGTGATGTCTTGGGAACCACGCATGCTGCAAGACAGTTGTGGTATTCTTTGTGTGTGAGACCGTGCACGCATGCGGCGAGAAAACTGGATTCAGTGTTTGTCTTTCTGAAATACACACCTTTATATGACTGCAGTTCTCTGCTGGAGGAATTTATAGCTTAAAACGATCTCGCTCCTGTTGGGCTGCATGAAATATTAAACACTAATTGAAGAGCTTTCCTGTCAAAATACTTATTTTTCTCACTGGTCCCTTTCCCCCAAGCAAAGGAAAAGGAAATGAGCAGTATTCACTTAGGAGTTACATTGCAGGTTGAATGCATGATCATTTAAAGGTTATTAACGTGTTTTATGTAACCGTAGGACTAATTAGTTTACTCGGTTTCATTGGCTGGTAACTGATTAACAGAAAAAAGACTGAATGTTCATGTTTGCTTATATAATAATTTTACTACAGTTCTATGAACTTTTTGCTTGGAGAGATGGTCTTTATTTCAAATCTTTAGCTATATCAAATGTGGTAGCTGAAAAGTTAATTTCTATTTTCAACACATAAAAAGGACAGATATTTTTTTTTTTTTTTTTTGTCCCCTAGTTCTTCTAGAAAAAAGTGAACATATAAAATTAAATCTCTGTCAATATCCTTCCTGTCTGCTTTTATCTATACCAAAAAGTTCTGCATCTTTATCTTGGTCTCAAAAACTCACACCCCCACTATGTCCTCCTCTCTCCTCTTTCTTCTGTACATTCATGGTTCTGATAGTTGTTCCCCCCCCGCTCCGAAAATGTGCAGATGGCAGAGTAAATAGTCCTAACATCATTGAGAGAGATTGTGGGTTCCTGGAGCCTTTAAGGCGTAGTAGCCACAACCCTACTTGTAACCTATATGACAATTATGTTTTTCCAGGAGGACGGTAAACTTATACCAGTAAAATAAATGGTAAATTAGTTTTTTAGATGCACGCAGTTTTAGCAAGTAAAGCATCCTGCCTCCCACTCTCTCGTGGTAGTCTCCTCTGAAGAGACTTTGTCAGTCTTAGGATGTCAGTGTTACTGGGGCTGTATTCATTTCTTCTCTCCAAGTCATTAATTTCACCTCGAGAGAAGTTGTGGGCGCAGCAGCTAGTGGCTGAGGTAACATAATGTGATAGAAAATATGAACACTCTTGGACCATTTCTTTAAGCAAAGGTGTTCTGCAGAAAGGAGGGGGAGGGTTAGAAGTGCAAAAAGCCACTGTTTGAATTGCAGTAGATGAGGAACTGTTTGAGTGGCAAAGTGGTGAAGCAGAGGTGCCATCGTCAACTTTCTTTGTGTGTGATTTTTCCAGGATCCTCGACAAACAGTCTTGTAACGTGTCCTGAGCCCCTCCCACAATCAACCCTGCAGGTTCAGGCCAACAACAGTAACAACAAGAAAGGAACGTTCACAGACGATCTTCACAAGCTGGTTGACCAGTGGACAAGCAAAACTGTTGGAGCTGCACAGACAAAACCTTCGTTAAACCAACTGAAGCAGAACCAAAAAAGGCAAGACATGGAGCCAAAGGCTAATCCCATGCAAACGCAGAATGAGACATGTGGAGTAAGTGGCACTCCTTGAAGAACGTACCTTTTGCTATGTGTCTGAAAGCCTTTGCAGAACTCAGATTTGGAGGAGGACATAGACTAAATTACTTCAGATAGATGCTTCCTATAAAAGTCCATCTCTTTTCATTAAGTACTAAACCAGATTTATTTTTTTTTTTAAATTGCCTTTTGGAGTAATCTTGAGGGGTATATGGGCTGCAATATATATATAAAAAAATATATATTTTTAAATTGCAAATTGCTTATTAACAGCAATATACAGCAATACTCATACTGTTAACCATAGGTTGCTCAAATGAAGTTATAACTATTCGTAAAGTTGTTTTCTTTTTGATGCTTAATATTAATCTTCCTTAGGCAGAACAGAGGCTGGGCTGGTGGCTTGGAGGTGGCGAGCCATTGTTTTAGTAGAAGCAGAGTGAGTACTGCGCTGAGATAGGGAACAGCTGGATGTATTTCTGCCCCTTGCTTCTTGTACTGGGCATCCTTGAGGCTCTCTGCCTCATGCAAATACCACCTTCAGAAATGCTGTGAAAGTAAACTACAACAAAATGGAAGTTAGAAGCATCCCCATTCATCATCCCCTCTTATTTTAAGTTGCAGGAAAAAAACACCCAACATTGTGATGGGCTTTTGTGTCTGTGTTCAGTGCTCGTTTTCATGGCTGAGCGACAATGTGGAGGGAGGCACAAAAATGAAGATGTATCCAGAATCCCAGTTTACCATTCTGTCCCACCCTGGTCTGGGTTTCCAGGCCTCTTCCTCCTCCTCTTGATTTGATGGTTCTCTGATTAATAACTTTTGCTGGATTTATTTTTTTTTTGGAGGACTGGAAATTGAGCAGAAGTAGAGGAAAATAAATTAATTTTAAAAGCAAAAAGATAGTGAAAACAAAACCAGTGAGAGACTGCTTTGTAATCTCTTAAAACAAGATAACTGGATCTGGGTAGTAAACCATTGCCTTTTTGGCACACTGAAGGAAAAAAGAAATTTGTATGCAGCAGTAGTAGCTCTGTAGGTGTTCATGAGGTGAGATGTGCCAAAGCAGGAACGGTGCTAAAACGTCTGGTTTTGCTAAAACCTGCTGGTTTTGGAGTTAGCGGGGTCACTGACTTCACAGGGAAAAGCAGTTTTGCAAATTTATTAAACAATTTTACGTCAATTCTTGGTTGCAATAAGTGATCAAAAACCAGAGGGTCGATAATCCTGCGTTGGTGATGGTTTAACCAGAATAAACCCATTCCGGAGTAACAGCAACATCTACTTAAGTTCTCCCAAAATAAGTCAAAGGAGGTACTAGTAATCACAAATTGAAGATTTCTAGAAAGTTGATGGTGAGGACACAGAATTTGTTCTGTTAAGTCATTTCTTAATCGCTTTTGATGTGCTGTTTGCAGCTTGATGTCTTTTCCCTGAGACTCCTGCAGTAGATTGAAATATTCAGTGGGGGTGTTCTGCCCACTTCTAACTCGGGAAAAGAGGGTGGTTATTTTACTTATTTAAGTCACCCATTAACATCAATTTAGGGTTAAATTTACCTTCTGCAGACTTGGTGTCTCAGTTTCAAAGCCTGTGGAGACAGCAGAATATCGCTGTGAGAGGAACAGGAATGTCCCTGTCTTAATACACTGATTTTTAGAGCATTTATTTCTTTCTAGAACATGGCAGTTGTTCCAGGGGATTGCCAAGGCTGATTGAAGTCTTTTAGAGAAAATTTACCAAGAGAGGTTGGGATACCTTGCTCTTCACATCCTTCCTTGTTGCTTGGAATAGCGGCGGCCAGTTGGAGACCTTACGAGCCCCGTGCCAGCTCGCCCTGGGTGGTTTTGTCCATAAAGTCACAGAATTACAGACTATTCGGGGTTGGAAGGGACCTCTGGAGATCACCCAGTCCAACCCTCTCCCAAAGCAGGGTCACCTAGAGCAGGTTGCACAGAAATGCATCCAGGTGGGTTTTGAAGATCTGCAGAGAAGGAGACTCCACAGCCTCTCTGGGCAGCCTGTGCCAGTGCTCTGCCACCCTCACAGTAAAGAAGTTTTTCCTCATGTTGAGACAGTTTCCCCGTGTTCCAGTTTGTGCCCGTTGCCCCTTGTCCTGTCACTGGGCACCAGTGGAAAGAGTCTGGCCCCATCTTCTTGCCACCCACCCTTTAGATATTGATGAGCATTGAGGAGATCCCTCTCAGCCTTCTCTTCTCAAGGCTGAACAGCCCCAGGGCTCTCAACCTTCCTCACCAGAGAGATGTTCCAATCCCCTGAGCATCTTTGTAGCCCTCCACTGGACCCTCTCCAGCAGTTCCCTGTCTTTCTTGATTGTACTGGGGAGCCCAGAACTGGACACAGTGTTCCAGATGCGCCCTCAGCAGGGCAGAGCAGAGTGGGAGGGTGACCTCCCTCGGCCTGCTGGCCACACTCTTCTTGATGCCCCCCAGGGAGACCACTGGCCCTCTTGGCCACAAGGGCACGTTGCTTGTCAAGCCTGTGTAGTGCAGGCTACAGAAGAGATGCAAAGGTAGATGGCAAATCTTCCTAGCATGATTATTGTTGGGGTATTTTGGCCACGAAGATGGCACTGTGTGCCAGAGATGACAGAAAACAGGGCAGTGGATATGAGTTAAGACTCTTAAAACAGCAAAAAGGCTGTTTTGGGAGTTGAGCGTCATTCTGCTGATTGTACCTTTCGAAATTCACCCTAAAGGGGAAATTGAAGTTAAGGGAGGAGAGGGCTTCATGGTGTTCGGAGGAAAATAGCCAAAAGAGAAAGAAATTGTGTGAAAGGACCCATAACATCAGTTCTTGGAGCAATGAGTTACATGGGGAGATGCTGTACCTGCACCGAATCACCATTGAGCCCACCTTTTAAAATGGTATTGAAAAGACAAAAAGAACTCAGGAAATCACATAAAGGATGGAAAAAATAGCATAATAACAGGGAGCATATAAAGCTCAGGCTGTACTTCTTCAGGCCATCTGTTAACACCATCTTTTCATCCTCTCTTTGATCAAATACAAAAATGCTTTTGCAAGAAGAGAGTAAGGAGCCCTAAACAGATTTCCAGCCCATCAGAGAAAGTTATAATAAGGTTTTACGTTGGAAATAAAGGCTAGATAAATTGGAAATGTGGTGATTCTTATCCCTTTTTTTTCCTTTTGACTGGAACAAACTAGCAGGAAACTGTTAGGGCAGGTTGTCTCATGTCTTCAAACTGGGTGTTGTGTTCTAGGAGCAGCTGGTGCTGGTCCCGTGCGATGGTCGGAAAGGAGGGGCAGGAGGGAGGCAGTATTGGTACCTTCACTTCTAAATTTTCTCTGGAGATTACTGGGCAGAAATATGTCTCCTTGAAGAGTTTTTAAACAGGAGTGGGAGTGATACGAGTTGTCCCATGGTGCTCTGCTGGTTATAGGTCCCCTGGAATTCGCACCACACAGAGCTCTTGTAGGTGACACTGAGGTCAGGCAGGCGATAAGCATCCTCCTGGGGTGAAAGTCTGGGGCTTCTGCTATACCAGGTGTGACAAAGAAGGCATCAAACCAAATGACCCCACTCTACTCTGTATTCATTGATTTTTCAGTCTTTTAGACCAAAGGAAAATTGCGACAAATCCTTATTGGTTAGGGGTAGAGTTATTTTATTTATTTGTTTAATGTATTATTTTCTCTTACTGTCCTCCCACTGTTATTAATATGCAGGGTAGTTGTGGGGCCGAAAGTCTTCTTTCCCCCTAGAAACAGAGGACTAGCTTTCTGATTCACCTTTTTTTCTTTATATGCTTCTACCACTGTCAGCAAATCATTTGCTGTGTGAATACAATATACTATTGGTACCTTTTTTTTTTTAACTAAGTGAAGGCTACTCTTTAAGGTTGGAAATCAACCTAGAAGAGAAATTGGTGGTGTGTTTAATAAGTTAGTAGTTTTATTTTCTTCCTCTTTATCATCAGAAGTGTAGAAAGCAGTAAAATAATTGGGATGCAAAGGAAGATTTTAAATTCTGCTTTGTTTCTGTGGAAGTTACCTGGCGGTTTGGCTGCAGCTCCTGGTTGGTACATATCAGAAGTTTGGGGGGGAACCTTCAGGCATCCAGTTGTGTCACAGGAGCACTGAAATGTTCCTTTTCAAATGTTTTATTTAAACATGGAAATACAGGTGTAATAGGATATACTAGGAAGAACTGAAGTCAAACTGCCTGATAATTATTTGTCTCGTGCTCATGCATGTTGAAGGTGTGATGAAATAATCCTTTTTCACAGGTGATTGTGGTTACCACCAGTCAAGGAATATGCCTAAGAACATGAGCTGAATTGTGTGTAGAGAGTACTGAATATTGTGTAGTTAAAGATATTATTTGAAGATGCCTGGGAATAAAAGGGCTTACCAAAAATACGTTTTCTGTTCTTCGTTACCTAGCTCTGTGGGTTTTAAAGAAAAAACTGTTGCCCCCCAAAAGCTGTAAACATGTTCCAAGTCCATAATACGGTTGTTTCTGTGAAGCGTGCAGGTCTGTGTCAGTTGGTGACGTGTGCTGGGGCTTAGACACCGTCAGTAATAGCTGCACATCTGTTTGCATTTGGTACATCTTGATTTTAATGAGCTGGCTGCCTGGGAAGCAGGCTTTCTGGAGACAGACGTGAAAATGGAGCAGAAGGACTATTGACACCTTTTACTGTGTCTTCCGTCTCCATTGGATTGGAAGAATAATAAAAACTAGGATGAATCTGTGTTCAAAGCTATTCAAAACCGCCTTCTTGGTCTGAACGTCCAAATAGCTTTCCAGGAACCTGGAGGAGCCCAAACACAAATCTTCAGTAGCACCTAATCACTTTGGGTTTTCAGCAAACTGGAAAAGGGTGATAAAAAAAGATGTATTATCATCCTTGACCTGCTTGTGTTGGCAGCCAGCTCTAACTCTGTCCTGTGATTTAGATGGTTTTGTTTCAGTGGTGGTTGGACCGTACAAGAAGTAAAATAGGAACGCTAATAATGCAGCCATCAAAGTGTAGCTGGGAGAGACATAACCTAAATCCTGCATTTTTAGAATGGGTTGTGATAGTTACGGTCAGCCTTCACAGCAGAATTACTCGGTTTCATCTGTTGTAATGTAAAAATGGAAGTATTTATGTTTATAAGAAGTCAAACATAACTATTAGCTATATAGTTTCATGGTACTGTAGCTATGAATATTGCTAACATGACACTTTAGAGCTCGCTTGGTAAAGCATGATGGCAAGGTAGAGAATTTTAAGTCCAAAGAACAGATTTATTTTTTTCTGAACTACCATAGCCTTGGTCCAGTGGGGTTTGTTTCATTTTTATGTATGTTTTTGTGTACGTTCTTCTTTGTGTACATATTATTCTTGTTTTCTAAATGAGCGTGTGTGATTATTTGGGGGAACTGGAAAAACTGGCAGCAAAAGGCAGGCATTTGGGGAAGCAGGAGTCGAGAGGCAGCCCTTACCCTGCGGGGACTTGTACAAGCCCTCACAACAGAGGTTTATGAGGGCAGGGAGAGTTTGGCAAGTGGAGGAGAGGAGGCGGCGTGAGTGGAGGTACGAAGGCAGTGTGCTGAGATGCAGCCATAGGTGTTTGTTCAGTAAGTACGTTGCTCCTATAGAGGAGGCCAATTGAGGCGCAGGGGGAAAGAGAAGGGGGGAATTTTACTTCCTTCCCATATAATCTAGGATACATTTTCAGATGTCAACCCCGTCTCCCTTCCAAAAAAATAATTTAAAAAAAAACCCAAAAACCCTATTAAATATCTGTAGCAGACAGACACGGTGATGACAGATGTAAATTTTGCAGTTCATTTGTTAAATTCATTAAGTTTGAGATGACGTCTACCTTATCAGCCAGCTTAAGGCCAGGGCAGCTGACTTTACTACGCTCTAGACAGGCAGCAGAACAAACAGAAGTAAATTAACGTTGTAATATTAAAATGAAGTCATGCCATCTGTAGTTGGCTAGGTCTTCTACTCAATCTCATTCCTCGTTGTTAGTGTTGCATCGTCTAAAGTTGAATGAGGAAGGGAAAAGACCACTTCTGCTTTACGCTCCTGCAGTAGGATTAGAGTATTTTAAATAAGCTCCAAACACTTCTCCTATACGACTGCAGGCTATGGTTGTAAAGATCTTCTGGGTTTTTTCCGTGATCTCTAAACATTGGTTGCTTCAGCTGGATACAGGAGTGTGACATTGTACCACTAGTTTTCAATTCCCAAGACAACTTCAGTATAAAAGAAATTATTTGCACCCATATCTTCAAGCTGTGGGTAGAATACCAAAGCCCAGAAGATGCATCGGAAGCTGAAGCCTTGTCACCACTAGGGTCTAGTGTACTGTAGTTGATCCACGTTTTGGAATTGAGGGCTTTTTTCAGAACTACCAACTTTCAAACAAATTGGCAAAAATGACAAGCTAATAGCGAAGAGAGGTCACCTGGGCAAGCAAGGACCTGCAGGTAACAAATGTGTCCTTTCAGCACCAAATTGGCCAGCTCATGAGTGATGGGAGAGCTTACCAGCTCACAGCTTTCCTTGGGAGCTTCAACGCCCCCCCAAGAACCTAAATGTAGGGCTTGGGCTCAGGCCTGAAATACCCTTACCGTTGACAAGGCTCCCGGCCATGCCATGCATCTCAGGGGCTTCCTTCAGTGGACCTCCCTTAAAATACCAGCCTGATTGATTGAAATGCTGAGCTAGGTCTGTTTACGGCCATGACTTTGACCGTAGTATAGGTGTACACCTTGACCATCACTGTCTGAGTGTCCTTTGAATTTTATGAACAAAGTGACTTGTAGTCTCACAGCTGGGAAACCCATAGCTCCTTGCGCTGTTTTGAGGACTGTTCTGGTGCATGTTGGTTTTGATGTTTCAGTTGGCACAAAATGGGTTGTTTCTGCCTCCATTGGTGTTGGGTTGTCATAGCTCGTTAAAAGATGATGGCTAAAAAATGGCTTTGACTGAGACACTTCCATCCAAGGGAACAGGCAAGAGCTAGATGTCTTGTTGTCTCTTAAAGTCTGTGTTTCTCTCCCTTGAAGCGTGCAACGAAGGTAGAGGAAGCAACCTTAAATCATGAACAGGCTTTTGTCATGGCATTAACAGGTTTTAATAAGTAGGTGTAACGTTTGGGTTTGGAGCATGATGTAATGTTATTCCCAGTTGCACATACGTAGCCCTGAATACAGCTGCTGCTTTACTGCGTAATTTAGCTGGGAACGAAAAAGTTGAGAAGCACGAATCACGTACAGGTAGATTTCTCAGCATTTTAAAAGAACTAAAAATAACCTTTTTCAAGTTAGGATTTTTAAATCGGACCTCTTGCTAAAATATATCACCTTGTGTTTTCAATGCTAGTGTATAATCTACTGCTTGTAGAAGAAATTATAGATCTCGGTTAGGTACATTTACGTCCGCTCACAGTTGTTGAGTTTGGTGGAAACCATCATTTTGAGGATATTAAAACAAGGGTCTAATAATAGGTTAAAGAAGTCTTCAGGTCTTAAAAATATCTCCTTAATTCATTTTGTTATCGTTCTTTGGTTTCTGCTGTTAATTTGGTGGATTTTTATGCATTAATGTTAAATTCATTATACCGAAGCAGCTATTTCTTAGTATGATGTTCACTATCAGATTCAGGTTTCAGATTAGAACTGGAGACAGTAAAGTGAAGAATAATGTCAGATATTTCTGTATTTTTGTAAAATTGGCTTTGGAGCACAGGTTAATGCCCCAAAGCAGTAAACCCCAGAAAGACATTGCCATTTTTATTTCGAATAGAGAAGAGATAGTAAAATCAGAAACACAGAGTAAGCATTCCACACGCTCTTATACATATATTCATTCTTTTTTCCACTGAAATTTCACCTTCATACCAGTTTTATCGATTTAATGTGAAATACCAAATTAACGGGAGATTCCCAGACTTAAATACTATGCCATGAATAGGTGCTGGCTTGGTGGGAACCACAGAAGGGAGTTGTAAAGGCCATGAAATGAAAAACGTAATGAGAGGCAGCAAACCCCATCTGCAGAGAGAGCAGGCAGCATTTTGGATAATGATTGGTTCTGTGGCACTGCCCGTGATGGAGCATATAATTTGGGAAACTCTGCCATCTCAGTGTTTAGGAAGGAGAGCTCTATCTCTACCCCTTGCATGCAAAACCTGAATAATTGAAGTGGATGTTAATAGAATTTTAGAAAAATAGCCAGAATTGGTTCCAGCAGCTCCCACTGTGTCCTTGCTGGTTTACCTCACCTGATCCCACCAGTGCTGGGTATTCATCTGCCGAGGAAAATCTCTTTCCGTTCGTCGCTACACTTAGTTCAGAGAGGCTGAATGACCCACGACAAACAACATTTTACAGAAATACGTGCTAGACTTTTTACAACCTATTCTGGGGAGGACTGTAAGAATTTGGGTTTTTCCCAAGATTTGGGTTTTTTTCTTCAAGATTTCGGGTTTGGGGTTTTTTTTGCAAGATTTTGGGGGCGGGCGGGGG